ACCCACTGTGTGTACATGGGGAGGAGGGGGGCTCGTCAGACCCACTGTGTGTACATGGGGGAAGGGGGCTCGTCAGACCCACTGTGTGTGCATGGGGGGAGGGGGGCTCGTCAGACCCACTGTGTGTGCGTGGGGGGTGCTCATCAGATCCACTGTGTGTGCTTGGGAGGCTCTAGGTCCCCTCCCTGCTGGCCAGCCCAACCCCTCAGTCCTGTTCCCTGAGACGAGGCCCGAGAGGCCCACCAAGGTCTTGGGTCCTTCCCAGTATTACCTTGCCCACCCGACTAGCAGGTCTTCCGGAGGGAAGGGCTACTTGTGGCTCTAGGAGAAGCCTCCGAGCCCACAGGTGCGAATCATCCAGTTTGTGGTCCACTCTGACCTATGCATCTACCAACTCATTTCCCCTTTCCCCACTTGGCAGGAATGCCAGGCAGGAGCCTCGAGGATATTTGAACCACGTTGGTCTCTACCCCAGCCGACAGCTCCCACACTCCTGGGATGGGCACTTCCGGCTTTCCAGTGCTGTACTGCCCAGCCCCCATGCAGGAGGCCAGGACCCTGGTAAGGAAGCCTAGCAGCCTACCTCGCGCTGCCCTGGGCCATCCCTCAAACACCAGCCAGTTCGGTGGGAGTGTAGCCTGATGGTTGAGGCCTAAGAACCCACGCCCTGCCTCGGCTGCCACCCGCTCCCGATCCTGAGGCTGCTGACCCTGGCAGGGGCCAGCTCTGAACAACAGACCCACAGACACCTAGGCCAGGCTCCTCGGAGTCCAGCGGCGGGAGGGCGGGCGGCTTCCCTCGGTCCCCTCACAGCTCATTAGGGGGGTGGCCTGCAGCTCTCTGGAGAGCCCCTGCAGGCCGGATGAGGGACAGCTGACCTTATCTCCACCCCTCATAGACCTCCAAGATCTTCCTGTAGACAGACCCCCCATCCCCACCCCACCCCACCCAAAACCGTGCAGGGTGCCTGTGTGGTCTGGCCCAGTGCCAGCCGGTGCCCATGTGGGGCAGCTGCACCGCTGATGGAGTGGCACTGACAATGATGCTCTGTGGACCCAAACCCGCCGTCCCAGTCCGTGCCAGCCTCCACCCTTCCCACTCAGGGCTGCTCACGAGGCCGCTCGAGCAGGCGAGGGCCACAGCACACAGATGAGGTGGATGCATGAGTGGCGGGTGCTGGGGTCACAGCCACAGTGCCAGTTCCACCCCCCCTCCACGGGCACCTCTGCTACTGTAGCTGCAGCAACAGGCCAGGGCTGCCTCCCCCATCGCTATAGCAACGGCCTAGCATGAGCTGCTGGGAGGAGCACAGACCTGGTTGGTGGCAGTGGCGGACGGGCAGGCAGTAGCGAGGGCATCTGGTTACAGGCCTGCCACAGGGTGTCAGCCCCACCTGGGTGAGCCACCTGAGTGCCTGCAAGGTGACCCAACCTGTATACCTCCAGGCCAACACAGGTGTCCCCTACGCCCCTGGTCTAGATGTCCGCCTGAGTTTGAGCCCTCCTCCCTGTGCCCCATTCCTGTGGCATCATGGGGGGACACAGGTGAAGCCTAAAGGGTGGTGTTGCCATGGTAACAAGTGAGGTGGTGCCACCCCCAGCCAAGGACAGGCTCCAATGATTGGCTCCTCCCCCATGTGCAGCCTGAGCTGCTCAGAAGGGCACAGGCCACTGAGGCACAGAGTGGGGAAGCAGGAGCCGGCAGGGAGGTGCTGGATGTGTGTCCTGCCCAAAGTACCTGCCACATGATACCCGCCCCCCCACACACACACATACCCCACATGGCGTCACAAGCAAACCTTGGTTCTTCCCACCCAGCTGAGCCCAAGGGCCCCGCTCTCAAACCTCAGACCCATGTTCGCAGTCCCCAGGAGCCTGACCCCAGTGCCAGCCAGAGTCTGAGGATAAGATGTTTCCCACGAGCTCACCATATGGGCTGGGAGAGCCAGGGCAAGGCCAGGACCCAGCAGTGAGGCCTGCTCTGAGCTTGGGGGCACACCCCGCAGACTGCTGCCCCTTCCCAGAGTCCCGGGCCCCTCTCCCTGGCACTGCTCCCTCCCTGGTGTAGGGTAGGGTCCTTCCCGCCAGGGACCCTGGGGCTATATTCCATCTCTGCTCTGGAGGGGCCCAAAGCCTGAACTGGGAGCTGTCCCCTGGCTACCTGGAGATTTGGGCCTGGTCCAAGTCACCCAGGCCACCCTAGAGCAGGAGTGTGCCCAGCCCTGACTCCTTGCATGCTCCTCAGAGTCCAGGCTGATACCAGCTGTCTTCCTCCCCCACCACAGCCCCTGGCCCCTGCTGTCCTCCCCAGACCCCGCCAGGTGTGACAACAGTGACCTTCTCAGGGGACCAGGAGCCACAGAAACCTGACCCCTCTGGGTACCAGCCCCACCCTGGAAAATCCCAGAGGCTCACAAAGAGGTGGCCAGGCCTCTAGGTCAAGCGCTGCTGTCCCTACCTGCCCCCAGGGATGGGGGGCTACCTAGAGCTGCTGCCCACTCCACCCTGCTGCCCGTGCAGGGCTACTCCCACCTCAGGGTCTCAGCCCCAGGGCGAGGGCAGGCGGTGGCATGGCCTCCGGAGGACTGGCCCCAGAGGACAAAAGGGTAGAGGAGGCTGCTAGAACAAGGACGTTCCTGATGGCGAACCATCACAAGCAAGGGCTGGCGGACTGCAGGCGGGTGC